ATCTATGCTATTAGCGGCGTACTTAACCCACCCCTGCGTCTGGTTGACTAATGCGAGGCTAAAGCCTCAAATTAAGTTTCATGGTCATGACTCTCCTACATGTACCACGTCTCTTGTAAAACCCAGCCAACTAGCTCCAATCGCCGCCTCGTCTATCCTGTCTCTTTCCCTAATACCTCTAAGTCTTCCTACCAATATGACCGAGTTGCGAAAACGAGGTCAAACAACTTCTAAAAGGTTTTCTCTATGCAAATATAAGCCTTATTATGTTTCTCAATGCATTCGCCTGTTCTATTTTCCTTTCTTGCGTTTTTGTCTTTCTTACAAAAGTCAAGGGTAAGTGCTACGCGTAAATTTAGTTCTGCTTATCTGGCCGATAATCTATTATCACTCTTGAGATGCAACAATTAACTGTCGCTTATTAGAGGATGTCGACATTATTCTTCAATCCTTAAAGATAGTAGCATAATGAGTAAAACTAATATGACCTCGTAGATTAGCGGTCTATGACAGAGTATCACGGCTACCACTAAGCATGCTAACCTAGGAGCACGCCTAAAAATAGGAATTGGTCAAAACGGTCTGCCTTTTGACCTAGCACTCACAGTAGCAAAGCTTTTGTTTTAAAGGAGGGGTCGCTTGGTCGATAGTTTTTGAATTCCTCCACTTCCTTCTCCATGGAGAGCATCTGAGACTGGAGTTTATTTCGTAGGGCGGGTAGGGTATCACGTATGTGATTAGTCAACTGCTGGTTAAGCACTCGTTGCAGGTAAGGCGTGCCCATCCGATCTGCCAGGTGACGATAGGAAGAATGGCTAAGGAAGAATTTGCGCTCTGCAGCCAAAGCCGTCTTGATATCCTTTTTGCCATCTATGTCACGCTGGCTACGATTGACAACACCTATATAACCTGTAGAAAAGAAGATCGAAGAGGAAAATTTAGAGATTTATTTTTGTGAGTGAAACTGAAACAAACGTTGTGGTTCAACATTGAAACCAAACAAAGCCAGCAGTACCACAACATTATTGGGTTGGCACACAAGCAACTAGGGCATGGCAAGTCATAGACTTGGTATTAGGGATAGAGACAGGATAGACGAGGCAGAGATTAGAACTAGTTGGCTGACAGTGGGTTTTACAAGAGAGGTGATACATCTAGTAAAGGCATGACCATGAGACTTACTCTGAGGCTTTAGCCTCTAATCAATCACCCAGGTGCATGTGATGGACGAATTATGACTCGACTAACACAGATAGGGGGGCAGGGGTCGAATAAAATACATGTAACAGGCAGATAGCAGACGGATTCGATGGGGAAAAAGGGGGACTTTAATAGGACCCAGGGAAGGACTACGTAACAATATGACACTCTGGTCAACATTCCCAGCACAGGGGTGAAGGGGGTGATAACAAGAGTGTGGAGTGTGAAGGGTTTTCATGAATTCCACTCAAAGGAGCACACCAAACAACATTAAAAATAAGTAAGGTAAAATTTTTGACAGGGAATGCAAGATAGGAC